CAGAGCCCTGTTGTTCCAAGGTTGAGTATGCATCACTATTTACCTCTGTCCCGCTAGGCCATGCAAATCTGTCTCAATGTTCCCCTATCTATCCTGTTCTTCCGCCTTCTCCCCCCTTCTTGTATTGCCCTCCCCAACACCCAAAGTAAGCCCCCCACCCCAACCCTATTGTGGTTACCTTATATTCCATTAGTTCTTCTACCTGACCTTCTCACCACCTAGATCTCTGTTCCTCTGTGTTTACCTTTTTTCACACTGTTCTGATCCTAGACTGACCTCCCAGATCCTCTGTTCTTATAATTTTATTCTGTGCTTGACTCTTCCGTTTGTCAACTGAGTTCAGGTTGATGCTGCCATGTACTTCATTCTGTAGGTGTTATGTGTTCTTGTTGGTTCTCAGTCCACAGAACTTCCTTTAGGATGTTTTTCATATCAGGGTTGACTTTGGCAAGATCCCTTAGCTTCTGTTTATCCTGGAATGTTTTGATTACACCATTGTATTTGATTGACAGCTTTGCTCAGTAGAGGATTCTTGGGTGGCAGTTTTTTTCTTTTAGTGTTTTATATATGTCTCCCTATTATTGCCTTCTTGCCTGCATGGTTTCTGTTGAGAAATCCGAGCTTAATCTGATTTGCTTGCCTTTGTATGTTTTATTTCTCTTTTCCCTAGCTGCTTTCAAGATCCTGTCTTTATCTTTGATTTTGGAGAGCTTGATTATTATATGTCTTGGTGATTGTCTTTCAGGTTCTATCCATCCTGGAGTTCGTTGAGCTTCTTGAATGCTTATCTTTTCACTTTTCATGATGTTAGGAAAATTTTCTTCCAGAAGCTCTTCAACTATCTCCTCTGTGGACTTGTGTGATTGTTCCTGTTCTGGAATGCCAATAATTCTTATGTTATTCCTCTTCATGTTATCCAACATAAATCTTAAGCCTTCTTCAGAAATTTTTTATCCTTTTTTTTCTATCTTAGTATTATTGAGAGATTTATCTTCTAGCTCACTAGTTCTGGCTTCTATCTCTTCAATTCTACTCCTTTGCCCTTTCAGTGTTCATTTCTGATATTCTATTATTAATCGTTTGGACCTCTTTCTGTAGGTTTTGAATTGTTTCCAATGCTGCATCTGTCTTATTTGATTGTTCCTGTATGGCTTTCCTGACTTCTTCCTTATATTTCTCAATTCCATTGTATAGTGTTTTGATACATTTTATAATCATTTTTCTGAATTCCTTCTCCGGCATTTCCAAAGCCTGCCCATCTTCCAGTATGGAGTGTAGGTCTCCTTCCAGCTCATTTGCCTCAGTCACTTTATCTCGTTTCTGGACATGTGCAGATATGGTTGTCTGCTTCTGTTTTTTGGCCATCTTCAGGGGTTATCTGTCGCCTTAATACTTAGATGGGTGTGTGTTTTGGTATTTTTATGCTTTCTGAATGCCTCCAGGTAGATGTGATCAGAAAATGGGCTTCCCTTTTCACTCTCCTTCTTGAAAAATGTCAAGATGCCACTGTTGGTTATTTTGATGTAAGTTAGGATTTAATTTTTGGATTATTTCCTCTTTTGTCTGCTTGTCCCACTCCACAATCCCTGTTTAGTCCTTTTTCCAGTTGTAAACAGTTCAGGGCCAGCTGTGGCCATTTGGTTTTAATTGGAAACTGTCTCTTTAAATTTTGAGGTGATCTGTGTGCATGCGTAGTAGAACCCTCCGAGGGTGGGGCTGGGGTGCCCACTAGCTCAGGCACCCCTATAGTCACCAGAATGGAGGTGCACAGACAGCAAGGGACCAATGAATAGCTACCAAAAAAAAGAATGTCCACATCTTTATTTCTGCGGTTCTGCCAGGCGTCTGTGGCCGATCTGATCCTTCCCCCACTTGGTCTCACCCAAAATGGCGGCTCCTGGAGCAGCTGAGCATCCTGAACTAGAAAGCAGTGGATTTCTTGCTTCTGCCACAAATTCCCCCAGCTGTAAGCCTTCCAACTTTTTAAATATTTCTTTATATGTGGTTCAGAGTTCTGGGACCATCCCCTGAACCTGCTTTGTCGGGTATTCTGTGTTGTTGCTGGCGGAGCTCTTTACTGCACTTCCACTGGATCTGCCATCTTGTTTGTTCTCCCCAGGAAACTTCTTGTCAGTTGAGTTGATTACATTATATCCTATCATAAAGTTGATTATATTATATTACATCTCATCGTGGGGAATAGCTATGTCTCAGCTACCGAACCACTGAGAATCTTGACCCAGTCAAGTTGACACAAAATCTTAAATGTCACAAATGGAAAGATTGAATTGTATTACATTGTAGTGTGGCAAGTGATTACATTATATTTCATTCTGAAAGATGAATACATCACTTTGTATTAGGTTACATTGTAGAAGGTGATTTCTACATTATATTTCATTCTGAAAGATGAGAACATCACATTGTATTAGGTTACATTGTAGAAGGTGATTTCTACATATTTCATTCTGGAGGATGAGAACATCACATTGTAATAGGTTACATTGTGGAAGGCAATTACTACGTTACATTTCATTCTGGAAGATGAGAACATCACTTTGTATAAGATTGCATTTTGGAACAATAACTAGTTTAGTGTTTGGCTAAACCACTAGAAGCCATGGTCTAGCCAAGTTAGACACACATGTAGCCATCACATTGTCTCTCAGAAGGACCCCTCACTCCACCTTTCAGGAGAAAGTGACTAATATTCTCTAACCCTCATTGTCTGCCACAGAGCTGCAGAAAGATGAGGAGGAAGCGGCCAAGCTGGGCACTTGGAGACGGCCCTCAGTGGCACCCACAGCTGGTGAGGAACTGGCCCTCAGCCTGGATCACCCGTTCTATGACGTGGCCAGACACGGCATCCTTCAGGTGGCAGGTAAGACCCTCGAGGGATGTTCCCACATGATAGGGTGGGCTTGCAGGGGCTGCCAGGCTCCAGACAGATTCCCAGACAAAAGCTGTGGTCAGAACCAAATACCTGCCAGTGTTTCGGTATTGAAAATACTTTTTAAATTCTTGTTGAAAATACACATGGCAGGACACACCAATTTCACTGCCCCGCTATTGTTCCATGTAACCTTTCGAGCTGCAGTTGTGAATTTTATGGCATAGAGATAGTTAACAGAGCATAATGCTCTAGGCCGGCTGGGTGCTGTCGAGTCGGCTCCGACTTAGAACGACCCTGTACAGGGTTTCCGAGGCTGTAAATCTTTACGGGGGGCAGAAAGCCTTGTCTTCCTCCTATGGAGCGGCTGGTGAATTAGAACTGCCGACCTTGCTGTTAGCAGCCCGACTTATAGTCCGCTACGCTACCAGGCAGGCATTCTTTATTAAGTGAAGTGTCTGTTTTAAAGAAGACGTAAAGGTGTAGTGTTGGTAGATTATCTCAGGACAGAGGTTTCAGGGGTTCATCCAAGACTCCGTGGACGTTTTAATTAAAAAAGTTTTTTTTTAAAATTAAAAATTTTCCTGAGATTTTAAGAGTTGCTCAGTGGTCTGAGGAGCCACTGGGCAGGGCTCTTTCCTCTCTCTAAAGATCAGAGCTTGGAATGAAAGATAGGGGACATGCTGAGGAGGTTGTACCCAGTCAGGACGGACTGGAAAATCTTCTGCACAGGACTAACATATTCCTGTGGGTGATGAAGAGGACGGCTTGTTCTTATGGAGAATGCTGGGGGACTTCCTGGAGGCAGGGAGACCAATAAGTGAGACTATGGCTGTTGTTAAGTGCTGTCTAGTCGGTTCTGACTCATAGCAACCCCTATGGGATTTCTGAGGCTTAACAACAACAACAACAAATCTTTGTAGGAGTAGAAAGCCTCATCTTTCTCCTGCAAAGTGGCTAGTGGGCTTGAACTGGCGACCTTGTGCTTTGAAGTCCAGTGTATGGAGCTAGGAGACTGTTAATGTGAAGGAGCCCTGGTGGTGAAGTGGTTAAGTGCTCAGCTGCTCACTGTAAGGTCAGCAGTTCAAACCCACCAACTGCTGCTTGGGAGAAAGATGAGGCCGTCTGCTTCCCTAAAGAATCACAGCCTCGGAAACGCTTTGGGGCAGGGTCACTGTGAGTCAGAATGGACTCAGTGGCAGCAGGTTTGATTTGGTTTGGGGGTGTTAACATTGTGGCAGTGAGCCCGAGAGAAGGGGATGAACTTGAGATACAGGCGTATTTTTTTTTAAGACTGTTAAACGGGAGCCCTTGCTTGAACAAAGTTGGCAAAGGGCTCTTGTCGGATGGTCAGAGGCCTCAGGGCTCCTGAGCAGAAGTTGGCATAGAGATGAGGCGTCTGAACGTGCACAGGGTGTTACAAGACAAGGGGCCTGCTGTAGTTGCTGCGGCATGTGTAGTTTTGAAACAAGAAGAAAAGTAACTCAAAGACATGTGTGAATGCGGAGTTCTGGTGTGGCTAAGGGACCCTGGAGTGGTGCTATAGAATCAGCACTGGACTGCTTAATCACAAGGTCAGCAGTTCAAACCCGTCAGCCGCTCCTCGGAAACCCGATACAGGGTCCCTACAAGTCGGAACTGACTTGACAGCAATTCACAACAACATAGACGTATGTCAGGGGTCCTGGTGACACGATGGGTTAAACGTGCACATTTTGGTGATGCTGTGGGTTAGGTGTTGGGCTGTTAACTAACTCCAAGGTCGGTGGTTCGAATCCACCAGCTGCTCCGTAGGAGAAAGATGAGGCCAGATTTTGCTCCTGTAAAGAGTGTTGTTGGTGTTACATGCCATCGAGTTGGTTCTGACCCATAGTGGCTCCTTTACAGGGTCTCTGAGGCTTTAAATTTTTATGAGAGCAGAAAGCTGCATCTTTCTCCTACAGAACAGCTGGTAGTTTCGAACCGATGACCTTAAGGTTTGCAGCCCGATTTGTAACCACTACGCTACCAGAGGATCCTTGATAGCTGTAAAATTCTTTCTACTCGCCCATTAATTCATCCACCCCTGAGTGATCAGTGTCTCTGCGTGCAGTTCTGAGACTGTAACGTCTGTTTCAGCTCAAGTGTAAAGTGGTACCTGAGCTATTTACTGATCACTTCTTATCTTGCTCCTTTGAGTGACTTCTGAATATGGCTGTCATCTACTAAAGAGGGTTGGAGGCCACTGGACAGGCTTTTAAGACAGTGAATCTTCTCAAGTTTATATGCTGAGTCAACTCAGACTCACTGCGACCCCATGCATAATAAAGGAGTGTCCCATAGAGCCATCTTTAGAGATGCTGATTGCCCGGACTTTTCTTGCTTGGTGCCCTTGGATAGATTCAAGTGGAGCACAAACCGTGTACAGCACTCAGGGACCTCAAGTGTATATGTTGTGGTGGTTGGGTGTCTAGAGCTGACGTGGACTCACAGTGGTCCCATATGACAGCAGAACTGTCCCCTAGATTGTCGTAGGCTGCATTCTTTATGGGGATAGATTTCCTGGTCTCTACCCGAGGTGCCTCTGGGTGGGTTCGAACCAGCAGCCTGTTGTCTAACAGTCAGCACTGAGCTGTTGTGTCTCCAGAGTGCCTTCAGGTTTATAGAAACCCCCAGCTGCCAAGTCCATCCCACCTCATAGCTACCCTGTAGGACGGAGCACAGCTGCCGGAGTCCCGAGGCTATAAATCTTTATGGAAGCGGACTGCCTTGAAGTGGCGGGTGGGTTCAAACCGCTGATCTTTGCACCACTTAACCACTGCGCCACCAAGGATCCAAGTAGAATGAAATTGTTTTCACTTCCGTTTTTATTCCATATAACTTTTAGAGTTGCTGTGTGCCATTGAGTTGATTCTGACACATAGTTACACTTGTTGTTGTTAGGTGCCATTGAGTCGGTACCGACTCATAGCAAACTTATGTACAGCAGAAAGAAATACTTTCTGGTCCTGGGCCAGCCTCACTACTGTTGCCATGCTTGAGTCCACCAATGCTGCCACTTTACCAATCCATCTCACTGGGGGTCTTCCTCTTTTTCTCTGACCCTCCACCTTACCAAACATGATATCCTTCTCCAGCAACTGTCCCTTCCTGACAATATGTCTGAAGTGTGAGAGATGAAGTTTGGCCATCTTGGCCTCCAAGGAGAACTCTTGCTGCACTTCTTCCAACACAGATCTGTTGGTTCTTTTGGCAGCCCATGGCACTTTCAATATTCTCCTCCAACACCATAACTCAAAAGCATCAATTCTTCTGCGGTCTTCCTTATTCACTGTCCAGCTTTCGCATCCATGTGAGGTTTTTGAAAATACCATGGCTTGGTTCAGGCGCACCTTAGTCCTCAAGCTGACATCTTTGCTCTTCAACACTTTAAAAAGGTCTTGTGCAGCAGATTTGCCTAATGCAATACGTCGTCTGATCTCTTGACTGCTGCTTCCGTAAGTGTTGATAGTTGATCCAAGAATAATGTAGTGTTTGACAATTTCAATGTTTTCTCCATTGATCAGAATGTTGTTTATTGATCCAGTGATGAGGATTTTTGTTTTCTTTACATTGAGATGCAATCCATACCAATTAGGTGCCGTTAAGTCTGTTCCAACTCATAGTGAGACAACACTGCCTGGTTTTGTGCCATCCTCACAAGTATTGTTTGAACTGCAAGGTCAGCGGTTCAAGCTCACCAGCTGCTCCTCGGAAATCCTATACAGGGTCACTATGGGTTGGAACCGACTCTATGGCACTTAACAACAACAACGCAACTATTGTTATGCTTAAGGCCAGCACACAGTTAGGATTTTATAAATAAAGTTGGTTTAAATTTTAAGAGGTAGTCATCTTGGGACTTAAGTGTGTGCTCATGGATCTGAAACCCCAGTTTGGGTGTGGTATGGATGGCCCAGCCAGTAGTTCAGAGGGAAAATCAGATGGAAGGTTCTGGCACCAAGGATCAGAGAGGAGCTGGGTGAGTGACCGAGAAGAGAGATGACAAGATGAAGAGACAGGCACATGTATGTGATTTTGCTGAACTGCAGAGCTCCACCTTCACTTTTGGATCTTTCTACAGAGTTCAGACGCCAAGCTCTTTCCTGAGAGACACAGATCCAGAAGGGTCTTTTCAAATCCCCTTTCACTTCCACAAAAAAGGTTTAGCATCCTTAAAACGAAAAGCAAGCCAACTCCCAAATCACACCAGATGAGACAGATGTTGCTGTTCTCAGGCCACTTAAGCGTCCTTCACTCTCAGAAAAGATGATGGATTGTCTACTAGTGTTGCCGGAATCATTTATTTATTTATAAACTGGGCTTCTCCCGGCCAGGCAGCAGGAAACAATGTTGTATTGTAAACAGGGAGGGGTGTGAATTAAACCGATGCCTTGTAGCATTTGCATTTTATTGATAGTTTTCATCTCTTTCCGTGTTACACCGTCCTGAAGCCCACTTGGCACGCCAAGTTATTTTTCAGGAGAACAGCTGTGGGGTCTTCACTAATGCAGAAGCAGCACTTCATCAACAGGAGGCCTGCAGACCCCAGGGGTTCATACAGTCAGCCTGGGGTGTGTGGAGGGATGTGGAGTGCAGAGGAGGCTGTGGGGACTGGCTGGGGCTGCACAATCGGGACCCCGGCTCCCACTCACCTCAGTTTAATCTCCTGTAAACGAGACGGTGGCAGACAGAAAGCATGTATTATCCAGCACTTATTGAGCACCTACTGTGTGGAGTCCTGGTGTGGCGCCATAGGATTAGCACTAGACTGCTAACCACAGGGATGGTGGTTCGAACCCACGAGCTGCTCCTTAGAAACCCAGTGCAGGGTCATTATGAGTTGTAATTGAGTCAACTCCACCTAACAACAACAGCAATCTGCCAGGAGTCGGTTCCGACCCATAGCGACCCTGCACAGGGTTTCCGAGGCTGTAAATCTTTACTGGAGCAGAAAGCCTCATCTTTCTCTC